AATTTTTTTTTTTTTTTAAAGCATTTGGTTCAGGTTTTTTTTTGTTGCTCTTACTGTGTACACAACTAGCTGACTAAAATTCTGTGACGTAAATCAGCCCATCCATTCACTGAGTTCAGAAACAGATGGATGCACAGGGTAGCATGTTAGATCTCTTTTGGATATGTAAATAATTCAGGAGGGATCAGATGTACCATAGTAGTTTGAAAGCTTTGACAGTCTCACTTGTGTTATGTTACTTAATTTTTTCCCCTTACATTGTTTCAGGTTTCAGTCACAGCCCGAGATGATGTCCCCTTCTTTGGACCCCCTCTGCCAAATCCAGCCATATTTAGAAAGGTTTGTTTCTCTGGTCCGGTGTTAGATGGCAGGGCGATGTGGTACACACCCTTGTGTTCTGTGTCAGTATTGTCGGTCTGGTTAGATGACTTTGGGTGTCTAAGGAGTAGTAAGACAGAGCTTTTCTCATGTGATATTTTTATTACTGTTTTCATCTCAAGCCTAGTCTTCATCTTGTCTTGTAGAGTGTAGAGTTTCGTGAATTCCTCTTGGTCAAGCTTATCAATGCTGAGTACAGCTGCTATCGAGCTGAGAAATTTGCTAAATTAGAGGTGAGTCTATTACCTGGTTGCTTCTATTAAAAATTATAAAACTATAAAAATTATAACTGCCGGATTAAGAAAAGACGGTACTTTTTTTTTTTTTTTTTTTTTTTTTTTAGAAAATTCAGTACTTTTTTTTTTTTTTTACTTCTATTTTTGTGTTGCTTAAAAAAGGAAGATAAATGTGGTTATAGTCAGCTATGTGATGCTTCCATTGTATTTCACAGCAGGTGTGATAGAATATGAACAGGTACATTCTAATTTAAAGATCTAATACTCAAGTAAGAATGGGAATATGATGCCTACATTTTACTGGGGGAAGTTCTGTGTTAGCTGAAACTCACTATTGTGCTACAGGATGCATACTGATATCACTGATTTTTGGAGGCTATGAAGACAAGTAGAGGACTGGGGCATCTCTCTTATGAGGAGAGGCTGAGACACCTGGGTCTGTTTAACCTGAAGAAGAGAAGACTGAGAGGGGACCTTATCAATGCTTATAAATATCTAAAGGGCGGGTGTCAAGAGGATGGGGCCAGGCTCTTTTCAGTGGTGCCTAGTGACAGGACAAGGAGCAACGGGCACACGCTGGAGCACAGGAAGTTCTGCCTCAACTTGAGGAAAAACTTCTTTACTCTGAGGGTGACAGAGCGCTGGAACAGGCTGCCCAGGGAGGCTGTGGAGTCTCCTTCTCTGGTGATATTCAAAACCTGCCTGGATGCAATCCTATGTAACCTGCTGTAGGTGAACCTGCTTTGGCAGGGGGGGTGGACTAGATGATCTCCAGAGGTCCCTTCCAACCCCTACCATTCTGTGATTCAAGGCACCAAAATCCTATTCTGGACTCTGCTGCTTGCCTGATCTAGAAAAAACATGCCTCTGTTTCATCACCTGTAGTAAAGTACTGATGTCCTTTATGACTTGCTTTAGAAAGTTTAAAAGTACTGGCTATTATGTAATATATTCCATAACTATACAGCTGAAACCATTTCATACTGTTTAAAGCAATTGTCATGGTGTTTCGGGGTTTTTGTTTGTTTGTTTGGTTTTTTTTAATGAGGATGTGAGACATTACAAAAATAGGTAAAAAAAATCCATCCACTCCCAATAATGGTTGTGTTTTCATTTCCAATGTTGATGCAGGAAAGAACCCGGAGTGCCCTCTTGGAGAGCCTTTTTGAAGAGCTGCAGCTTCGCAGCCGCAATATGATGGGATTACCCATAGCAGAGGATGACAAGATAGAGAATGGCAGCGGGGGCTTCCTTGAGAATTTCAAGGTGAGACATAGTGGATTGATTCTGTATACAGTTACTCACACTTTTCTCAAGCTCTTTGTGTGCCCCTCCAAGGAATATTGACCTTGCTGATTAGCTGTGCTTAGAGTGAGACAGAAAAAAGGTCTTTCCATCCAGCAGCCTTTCTTTAGAGCATTTTCAACTGTGCTTTACTATCTATCTCAAGAAAAGACGTTTTTCCCCTTCCTGTGCTCTTTCCTACAGAACTACACCATGGCCAAGGTGGAATTCTATACTGTCCCTGAGAAGTCAAACTCTTTATGCCTCAAGCTCGTGTCTAGTGCCAGATGGGGTTTTCACTCCATGACTTACAGAAAAAGGAGAGTGTTTGCAAGAGGAATTGTAATAAGTAGTAGCAAGCAGCTTTCAGTTCCTACAGCAGATCTTTTCCAATTAGTTTTCATCATAACTTAAAGAGTTGCAAGGGTCATTGCAAGGGAGTTTTCTAACATATCTGTGAGCATACTGCCTAGAAAAATTGTGATGTTTTGCTTACTATCTAAAAGCCAGTTAATTTACCTTTGTTCAGTGTAGATGACACTTTTTTTTTTTTTTAATAAATCAGTATCAGGTGACAGAACTTACTTTTAAAAGTGATCAAGATGATATGAGAAAGCAAAGTTTTCAAACAAACTGAGTTTCGAACTGGTTATAGAGAGAGAATCTTATATCACTTTCCTATGTACTTCCCCTTTCCTGCTTCTGTGGGAAATGCCTCACCACTTCTTTTGTATTATAAGTTATCTGTCTGGACAGAGAGATGTATTATAAATAGCATTTCTTTGGATGACCTCCACCTGCTTTATGTGGTGGACTGGTTAGAGTTGTTAAGGACCATGAAACTAATTGATTCACTTATAGGTTTGGTAGCTATATGTGTAGTTTTGATGAGAGCTGGGATGCTTTGGTGAGGTGTATTTTTACATACAATCAGTCTACACTGCCTTTGCTGCTAACCAGGAATTTCATATCTATACATGTCTTAACACTGATTATCCCAAAATGTCCTTTTCTGACTTCTATCAGATGCTGTGGTTTACATGTCAGGTACACAGATGACCCTTGGAAAAGGCTGAGTAAAGTCAGAAAATGGCTTTTTCAAATGCTGCGGATTTTGATATGGCTGTTTTCCCCTTGGAACCAGCACTCAAGTTCATGCAAGACTGAACCTTACAGTCTAGAACAGGAGTTTGATTTTGTCTTTTGTAGCCTGTACTGAGTAGGACTGCTCAAGATGATGCTGTCTTACCCAGTATGCTGGGATACTGGTAGGGAATTTCTGTTTATCGCAACAGGACAAGGGAGGCAAAAGTACAGAATGTTATTGAGGAAGAGTTATTCCCTGGCAGTGATCTCCATGAATCGGCTAGGACCAAAAATGGGTAATAGCTAGGATGTTGCCTTCTAGAAGTTAGGATTTCTGTGGTTCTGGTGTTGGTGTGTCACAACTTTCCACCCAATCTGTGGTGCTTTTCATACTACCCTACCATGTGCATGTCTATATGTGTATCTTTGTTTGTCTGTTGCCCTGCCTCCCTTCTGTGCAGCGGGTGATCAGAGGCCGCAGCCAGAGCCTGGATACCATGGGGATATCCATGAGAAAGCAGCAGCCAGCCACCCTGCCCAGCCGCCCAACTACAGCTGGCCTTGCCCTCAGCCAGACTGTCGCCGAGGGCCCTAAGGCCATTGCTGCGGTAAGGTATTCGGGTGGACTGTAAGAAGAAACCCGGCATACCTTTGTGACCCACCCATACATTTTATTTCTCTTT